AAAAAAAAAAAAAAAAAAAACTGCTCTGCTGGCTTACTGACTAAACTAGGTTTTCCTTGCAGCTCTGGTTTTTCTTGAGTAAATGCAAGTATCTCTTCTAACATGCTCAGCACAAGTGGCTCCTGAAAAAAAATCAGCCTGGACCAAGACTGAACACAGTCGTCACGTGTGGCAAATCCTGACCCCAGAGGAAGCAGGACGTGCTGAGTCACCGCCTGTGGCCAGGGCTTGTCCTGCTTCCTGAGGTTCCCTCTGGAAACCTAATGAGTGACACATGCAGCTGTGCTCTGCCTACAGGGTGACACTGCTTCCTCCCCACCCCCAGACATGAAGTCTCAGCTGCATGCAAGAGTGCTATGATAACAGCAGGAGTCACTGCCTGGAATCCCAGAGAGCAGGTTGTCCTTCCTGAGTCCCTCCCCAGGCTTCCCTCTGCACACGGGGATGAGACTGGGGAACCCACGGACACTCTCAGCTGGAGCACAGGACCCGGGACAGCACCTGAAATCAGCGATCACAATGAAGCGACTGGCGTAACCAGCCACAATCTTCTCCTGCGTCAGGCAGCCTCTGACGGGAAGAAGAAAGTGACATTAGAGTGAGATCAGCCTAATTTGGGGACTAGGGTCAGACACAGGAATCCCAGCTGTGCTCAGTCCTGACACTTGAAGAGAAATTTGGCTTCCGTTGTTAAGGAGCCACCCTCAATCCTGTCGTGCTACTTTCTAGTAAAGGGACGACAGGAACACTAGCCTGTGTCTGGGAGAAACCCAGGAAGTAGACAAAGGTTCCATTCAGGCCAAGCACATCCCCTCCGTGTTAGGGAGACATCTCTGGACGTGTCTGAGAAGGCCAGCACAGGGCCCAGACACTGAACTGCCGCTGTCTCCACCGCCCCCAGCTAAAGTACTTCACACGGGCAACCAGGACTACACAATACACAGAAAACCACCATCTCTGTCATTCGGATACGTGTTTCCAAGTAAAGGAAGAGTACCCCAACTGATCACAGACTTTTTAACACAAAAGTCACAGACCTAACAGTCTAACCCAAGACTGTGCTGTGTGCGTACACAGAACCCAGCAAGATAAACCACCTCACTGAAAGACCCGGGTTGCCTGTCAGCAGACAGACACTAATTAATGATCAGAAATGCCAGGCTGACTCGAAGGCATATGGTATCAATGTGCTGATAGGAAGACAAAATACATGTATCCAGGACAAATATTTACTCTGTACTCCATTTTAGCTGACAGAGTCTCCTCAGCAACCAAGCCCCACAACACTCACCCGCCACCCTTGATGAGATTGAGCTCAGCATCCACTTCATCAGCACCATCGATGGCAAGGTCAATCTGTGAGGGAGGAAGGAGCCTCTTGAGCTGAGATGCTGTGCCAAACCTGATCAAGCAGCAACAGCTCATCAGGTTCTCGGCAGCTCCGTGAGCTAGGCCCAGTAATTCCACTCAACCACCCAAGGGACTTTGCCAGGGTCACAGGGGAAAGGGGCTGAGGGGCTGAGACACACGCTGTCCAATGTCCAGCTCTTGGCCACCACACTTGCTTCCTCTGCTCTCCAGGGACAAAGTGGAATTGTAGCATGCATTCCCAAAGGAGTCAAAATACTGACTCTGGGGGTGACAGGTGAGGGTTAAACGTTTAAGATACTGTAGTTGGGAGCCCTCCGAAGGACCATATGCAGATATGCAGCAGGACAGAGGAAAACTGACTGCAAAGACGGCACTAACGTGGACAGACACAGGCAACTTCAAATGGACAAGAAGATTAACAGGCGTCTCTGGAGATGACAAACACTCACCACAGTCTTGAACTGGAAACTCTTTCTGCCCACAGAAATCCCCAGGAGGTCCTTCCCAGTGTTTTATCATGTACACCATGGCATGGCCGCTAGACCCTGTCAAATCTCCACCCCATACCTGCCCCACTGTGCCCCATCACTCCAGAAAGTCTGGGCAACACCCACGCGTGCCACACATCCATGTCTATTATCTTCTCCTCCAAAGACTCTCTCGGCCCTGCCATGGAGCCTCTGCAGCGAAGCACAAGCCTAGCCTCTTGCTACAACACTGCTCTCGAGCCTGAAGTGTACACGTTATAATTCTGCTTCTGCCGCCTAAGCAAATGGCAGACCTTTCCACATCCACCCACCGGATAGTTATAGTACCCACGGTCTAGGTTAAACTTAGCTCTATACCTAATGACAGCTCAGGTGGGGCTGGGTGACAGGGGATGCTGTTCACTCTCCACACCCACCTTCAGTTTCTCCTAGGTGACTATCCTTAAATTTAACAACCTTTCCCACAAATACCAACTTTAATCGGTTTTCAAGTAGCCAAGGCTGCCTCAGATATGACTTCTTTCCTCTGCTTAGGTGTGAGCTATGCAGGCTGGCTCACTTATGAGAAGGAACTCTCAGGAAACCATGGACCAATCCTGGAGCTGTCCACAGCTCCTTTACCATGTACTGATTCCTAGAGGTTAAATCTCAGGGAAGCTAACCTATACTATGCCTACACTGGAAATTAACCACCTCTCTACTTGTGATTTGTCAGAATTAACACTCAAGTTCCCAGAACAAAAGTGAATATAATTGACTAATGTTTTTTGGACCTGCCAAGATATCTGGAGCCCATGAACAATTGGAGCCACAAAAAAAGGGGGGAAAGACACAATCCTCTGTCATCGTCTCCCCTCCTTCCCTCCCTCCCCTCCCCCCTCTCTCTCTTACCTCTGGGTGCTGATCCAGGTCACTGAGGGTTAAGCCATACTGCAAGATAAGCTGTCTGGCCTGAGGAGGGCAGGAAAAAACAACCACAATCATTTACTCTGAAAATATGGCAAGGGTTTGCAGAGTTCTTTTGATGTTTCAAATCCTAAAGACTGGCCTATGGCCTCTCTCATATCCCAAACTTGGCTACCAACAGGTGGGAGATCCAGCCCCACAAAGAGCAATGCTGACTGCTACTTCATTCATTCCAGGGACTGGAGCCATGCAGCACACAGCGGAGACAGTGCCAGGTGAGCTAAGAGCTTCCCCTCCCTGATTGGGGAAACAATGGCAGGATGCTCCTAAAACTTCTAACAATACATTTGGGAGGCTGAGATACACAGCCAATTCAAAGCCAGCCTGAGCTAAAATGATGCCCTGTCTCAAAAGACCAAGGACTGGGAATGGAGCTCAGTGGTGCAGCATTTTCCTGGCATGCCAAAGGCCCCAGATTAGATCCCTAGCATGGGCAGGGGTAGAGAGCGAAAATAAGACCCAAATCCACAAAATACAAGATCCAGGAGGCTGAGGCAGGAGAACTTCAAAAATGGAAAAGCAGACTCCCAGGGAACTAAACAGATTCTCTCCTACAGCTTCCTTCCTAATCACAGACCTCTGTCTCATCCGCCAACACCCAAGCCGCTCTACCTGGAAACCACACTGCCAGGGAATCAGATCCTCGGGGCACACACAGCTTTCCTCCCTCCTGTGGACCGTCTCAGAACCCCCCGCACCCTTCTACACTGTGGGAAGGGGGCTGCAACTTTATGGCCAGCAGGGAAATGATCAGGGTGAGGTAAGAATGAAACTCAGTTCAGCACGACTGGTTCAAACTTCCAGAGTCTGACATCGGGTCATTTATTCTAGCCATATTTAAACGCAGCACAATTTGGGGGGGGGGGGAGTTTTCTGATAACAATTAACTCAGTCCCGTTGAGTGTAACAAAATGTAAGACATGTTTACATTGGAATTCTTTACAAAGTCCATCTGGCTTCTTTCATAAAGATGGACATGTTGACTCAGAGACAGTGCCCAGGATTTGGGGGTCTAGGGAGAATGGTGTCAGGATTGGCCTGACCCTAGGATAATAAATAATACAGAAGTCATTTAGGCTGTTACAAAATACAAGTGCCATCACTCATATGGATGGGTTTTATGGCCTAGAAGCAATGCTTAAGATTTAGGTGGAAAGCATCCTGGACAAGTAAAACATAAATTCTGGGGATACAAGTAAAGCTGGCTCCACAAAGGATCACCAAGTCATGATCTCCATTCTTCCCCAGCTTTCTGGAAGACTAGATAAGCACCTTCTTACGTTGAAGAGATAGTGGCAGGTTTAACCTTTCCTGGCTTCTCCGGCGCTTATCTGTGTGCCCTCTACACTGCCCCATCCACATTCCTGCATGTCAGCTCCCAACACCTAAAAACAAGTTCTACCCGGGATCCCCAGTAGCCACATCAGGCAGAGACTCAGCTCTTCCTACCCAGCAACCCACAGCCACCACACACTTCTAAGATCCAGAGAGGGAAACAGAACCAAAGAACAGAAAACTGACCCAACAGAGACAAGACCAGATATCAACACCTAGAACTACAATCATCCCAAACCCAGATGCCTAGGCACCAGAGCGAAAACACAATCAATAGCAGCCAGGACAGGACACATCTCCCCCAGAGCCCCACAACACTACTACAGTAGGCCCTGAGAAATGCAATATGGATGAAGCACAAGACAAGGACTTCAAACGGCTATTAAAAATAAATATGATCAGGGATCTTACAGAGGATGTGAAGAAATCCCTTAATAATCTCTGTGAAAACACAAACTGTGAAATAAAATTAACAGTTCAAGATATGAAAGTAAAACTGAATCAATAAAGAAAACCCAAAATGAAAGAAAACTGGAAACAAAACTTTAGAAACTTGAAGAGGAACCTCACAGGTAAGCCTCACCAACAGAATTCAAGAGTAATTTAAACAGACCTATATCCCCTAGTGAAACAGAAGCAGTGATTAAAAGTCTCCCAAGCAAAAAAAGCCCAAGGCTAGATTATTTTAGAACAGAATTCTAAGGAAAATTAACATCAATACTTCTCAAATTATTCCACAAAAAAGAAACAGAGGGAACATTGCCCAATTCATTCTACAAGGCCACAGTTATCCTAATACCCAAACCACATAAAGACCCAATAAAGAAAGATAATTCAGATCAATTCCCCTTGTGAACACTATGGATGCAAAAATTCTCAATAAAATATTTGCAAACCAAATCTAAGAACATATCATAAAGATCATCCACCTTTATCAATTAGGCTTCATCCCACAAATCAATAAATATAATCTACCACATAAGCAGAATGAAAGACAAAACAACATGATTATCACTAGATGTAGAAAAAGCCTTTGACAAAAATCCAACCCCTCTTCATGATAAAAGTCCTGGAGAGACTAGGTATACAAGGGACATACCTCAACACAATAAAGGCAGTTTCCACTAAAACCAGGAACAAGACAAGGCTGCCCATTCTCTCCATACCTACTCAATATAGTACCTGAAGTACTATATTCTTATTAGACAACTGAAGGAGATCAAAGGGGTACAAATTACAAAGGAAGAAGTCAAAGTATCTTTAATTGCAGAGGGTGATAGTATACATAAGTGACCTGAAAAATTCTACCAGGAAACTCCCACAGCTGATAAACACTTTCAGCAAAGTAGTAGGGCACAAAATCAAAATATATAAATTAGTAGCCCTGAAGGTATGTTAGCCCACTTGAGCATGTACCTCTGGCAGGCCTTGCCCTTCTCTCCCATTCCCTCTGCCTTGCTTAAAAAAAAAAAGACATTCCTTAAGCTAGCCCCCGAGGTCTGTTCCCTTATTTGGCCACCTCCTCCTCCTGAGGCTGACTACCAAGGTTCAACTATCAAAGCACTGAAGTCCAGCAATCAAAAGATTGCTAGCCCATTCTAACACACACCTCCCTCTTTTTTCTCTTATTAAAAATTACACCTGCAAGGTCATTTGCTGCTGTTTTTCTGCCTGAGTCAGAGAGCAGCCACTTTAACTTTTCTTCCCCACTTAATAAAGGATCTCTCTGTGAAAACAGGTGTTTGGGGTGTGGTCTGAGCCCAATCTGGTCGGAGAGGGAGCCCCTTCTGTGTGGGGGTCTCCTTCAAACCCTCATATATACAAATGGCAAATAGACTGTCAAGTGTGAACCTGACAGGCACTGTTGTGGGATATAGATAGTTGATCACACTGTGTGAAGATGTCTCTGTTTTAACTCACCTGCCTAAGGCACCTTCTGATTAGATTAATAAAGAACTAAACGGCCAACAGCTAGGCAGGAGAGAATGGGCAGGACTTCTGGGCAGAGATAGGAACTCTGGGAAGAATCTGAAGCCTGGGAGATTTTCCAGCTAGACATGGAGGAAGTTGGACATACTGTATTGAGGAGAGGTGACAGCCTCATGGCAGAACGTAGATTAATATAAACGTGTTCATAAGTTTTAAGAGGTAGTTGGGAACAAGCCTAAGCTAAGGCCAAGCTTTCATAATAAAAAGTCTCCATGTTATTATTCAGGAGCTGGCAGTCCAAAGAAAGTCTGACTACAAGCCACTACGGAAATTGGTGTGGCTGTTCATCAGAAAGATTGGAATGGATCTACCCCAAGATCCAGCTATATCATTCATGGGAACATACCCAAAGGATGCTTCATCTTACCATAGAGACACTTGTTCAACCATGTTCATTACTGCTCTATTCATAAGAGCCAGAAAGTAGATGAAGGGATCAACAAATAAAGAGATAAAGAAAATGTAATACATTTACACAGTGGAATATTACTTTTTTTTAATGAAATTCACAGGTAAATGAATGGAGTTAGAAAAAAAATCATCCTGAGAAGTTGGAAGAGGCGAGTCCGGTCTCAAAATGGAGGGCCATGATCCAAAGGAACCAGAACAGTTGAGGAAGCTGTTTATTGGTGGTCTGAGCTTTGAAACCACAGATGATAGCTTAAGAGAACATTTTGAGAAATGGGGCACACTTACAGACTTTGTGGTAATGAGAGATCCCCAAACAAAACGTTCCAGGGGCTTTGGTTTTGTGACCTACTCTTGTGTTGAAGAGGTGGATGCTGCAATGTGTGCTCGGCCACACAAGGTTGATGGGCATGTGGTGGAACCAAAGAGAGCTGTTTCTAGAGAGGATTCTGTAAAGCGTGGTGCCCATTTAACCATGAAGAAAATTTTTGTTGGTGGTATTAAAGAAGATACAGAAGAATATAATCTAAGAGACTACTTTGAAAAGTATGGCAAAATCGAAACCATAGAAGTAATGGAAGACAGGCAGTGGGAAAAAGAGAGGATTCGCTTTTGTAACTTTTGATGATCATGACACAGTTGATAAAATTGTTGTTCAGAAATACCACACTATTAATGGGCATAATTGTGAAGTGAAAAAGGCCCTTTCTAAACAAGAGATGCAGTCTGCTGGATCACAGAGAGGTCGTGGAGGTGGATCTGGAAACTTTATGGGTCATGGAGGAAACTTTGGAGGTGATGGAGGTAATTTTGGTCGTGGTGGAAACTTTGGTGGAAGAGGAGGCTATGGTGGTGAAGGTGGTGGCAGCAGAGGTAGTTATAGAGGTGGTGATGGTGGATATAATGGATTTGGAGGTGATGGTGGCAACTATGGTGGTGGTCCTGGTTACAGTAGTAGAGGAGGCTATGGTGGTGGTGGACCAGGATATGGAAACCAAGGTGGTGGATATGGTGGTGGTGGAGGAGGATACGATGGTTACAATGAAGGAGGAAATTTTGGTGGAGGTAACAATGGTGGTGGTGGGAACTATAATGACTTTGGAAATTATAGTGGACAACAGCAATCAAATTATGGGCCCATGAAAGGGGGCAGTTTTGGTGGAAAAAGCTCAGGCAGTCCCTATGGTGGTGGCTATGGATCTGGTGGTGGAAGTGGTGGATATGGTAGCAGAAGGTTTAAAAAAAAAAAGCAGAAAAGGGCTACAGTTCTTAGCAGGAGAGAGAGCGAGGAGTTGTCAGGAAAGCTGCAGGTTACTTTGAGACAGTCGTCCTAAATGCATTAGAGGAACTGTAAAAATCTGCCACAGAAGGAGCAATGATCCATAGTCAGAAAAGTTACTGCAGCTTAAACAGGAAACCCTTCTTGTTCAGGACTGTCATAGCCACAGTTTGCAAAAAGTGCAGCTATTGATTCATGCAATGTAGTGTCAATTAGATGTACATTCCTGAGGTCTTTTATCTGTTGTAGCTTTGTCTTTTTCTTTTTCTTTTTCTTTTCATTACATCAGGTATATTGCCCTGTAAATTGTGGTAGTGAAACCAGGAATAAAAAATTAAGGAATTTTTAACTTTTCAATATTTGTGTAGTTCAGTTTTTCTACATTTTAGTACAGAAACTTTAACAAAAATGCAGTTTTGAAGGTGTTTCCTTGTGAGTTAACAAGTAAAGAAGATCATTGTTAATTACTATTTTGTATGAATTTTGCTAAAGTTAACTGTAAAGAAACACCTACTGACTTGCAATTTAAGGGGAATCTATTCTCCCCATTTCCAAAACCATGATGAATGGGCGCTGATATGTGGAGAGAATAGATATCTGTATGTTTGCAATGTGTGTTTTAGATAATTAGGATTGGGTAATAAAAATTAGCATATTTGTGAATTTAATAGCATTAAGATTACTTTTAAATGAAAAAGATCTCAAAAGTTAAAAAAAAAATCATCCTGAATGAGGTAACCCAGACCCAAAAAGACAAATACGGTTTATATTCACTTATCTGTGGATTTTAGTTATTAAGTCTTTGATAAGCAGACTATAATCCATATAGCCACAGAGTTTAGGTATAGAGTAAGAACCTAAACTGGATCACCCTAGGAAGGGGAAATATGATAGTTATGGATGGATTGGGAGAAGGGGGCCAGAAGAGGAGGATCAAATGGAGAAGGGGGAGAAGGGATGAGGGAAGAACAGAGAAAACTAAGGGTTTCCAGTGTCTTCAACTGAGCAGCTACCAATGTTCCCAGATCTCCCGCCTGCACATGGCCATTGTGGGAATACTCAACTTCTTTTCTTATAAATCCACTTGTAAAACCATTCTCTGGGGGGCCCCAATTAAAACACTCATGGGTAGACAATGGCAAATTCTTAACAAAATTCTGGCAAGTCAGACGAAAACAGACAGCTCTATCACCTTGGTTCTCAATCTACTCTGCAGTTTTCCCCAGCTCCACTGTTTCCCCATCCAACTCTGGCCATTGCATAATCAAAGAGCACACTATACTTGCGTTACTAAACTTCACAAATTCCTTTGGCTTCATCCACTAACAGAGTAATAGTCCTCAAGGCTGAAGACCACACAGTTGTCTCTGCATACTCCACAGTGCCTCCTACCTCATGAGGAAATATTCTTGAAGAAAATGAACACATATAAAATTAAACCACCAGCTGGACATGCGGCATATGCCTTTAATTCCAATACTCAAGAGGCAGAGGCAGCAAGATCTCTATGAGTTCTAGGCCAACCTGCTCTACAGTGAGTTCCAGGGCAGTCAAGGCTATACTGAGACCCTGTCTCAAAGAAATTACTCAAGAGCAATGCTTGTGGTCAGCCTCTCTCCTGTGCCTGGCTCTCTCGAGGAAAACAACCCTGATGGCAATACAAAGCCACGAGTCCACCACGAGTCTTAGGGACCCGGAAGACCTGGCAGCAGTGGGGAGGACACACAGACGGAGACAGAGGACGTGACATACCTGGAAGGACGTGGGGATGCAGACGAGGTCCAGATTCTCCTGCTTCACTCTTTCAGCTGTGGAGACAAGAGTCACACTGCTAAGTGTTTCCTTCCCCACACTTGATTTTTCTTTTCTTTTCTTTTTTTTTTTTTTTTTTTTCCTGACAGGGGGAAGGGCGTTTGGTTTTTCAAGACAGGGTTTCTCTGTGAAACAGTCCTGGCTGTTCTGGAACTCACTCTGTAGACCAGGCTGGCCTCGAACTCAGAGATCCACCTGCCTCTGCCTCCTGAGTGCTGGGATTAAAGGCGTGCGCGACCACTGCGAGGCTAGCACTTGATTTTTCCTGTCACATGCGTGTTTCTCAAAGCCAAGCAAAGGGGAAAGGCCTCTCTCCCACTGACAGCTGCCTCTGTGTTCCCATCTTTGATGTAAAAGCTAGTGACCTCACTTGACACCTCGGAAGGCAGGGACACCAGAGGGCCTGAGAGGGAAGCAGTGACCTCAGAAAAAGCCATTTCAGTGATCCTGCTGCTATGTGTCTGCATTTGCTAATGGCTATGTATACACTAGCCTTTTAAGTCCTGCCATCCCAAGAGATAAGTTAGAACTATCACCCCTACTCTACACACATGAGGAAGCTGAGTCACTGAGAGGTAAATCACCTTGTAGTCACCCAGTAACCAGCGGCTGGAATATGGTCCTTGGTGGTCTCTCTTTCCTTTTCCTTTCCTTTTTTTTGGGGGGGGGGGGGGGTGGGGAGTGGGGGGTGGTGCATGGCGTTTCTGTGTGATCCTAGCTGTCTTGGAACTCTGTAGACCAGGCTGGCCTTGAACTCAGAGATCCGCTTGCCTCCATCTGCCCCTGCTTCCCCAATGCTGGGATTAAAGGTGTGGTTGGTAGCCTGCTTTTCAATCTAAGCTAGAATCCTACATTGCCTTTTCCAGGAAAACATCAGAACTTCACTCTGCATTTAATAAGATATAAGGGTCTACAGGCCCCAGGGGATGATTAAGGTTGAGAGAGGTACCTAGTAATTTTAAATTTGGTTATTTATCTTAAACTTTCAGGAAATCTTAATTTGAATGAGGCTTAAAAAGCTGTTTTCTTAAAACATCAGGTCTCTTTAATCAACTCTGTCTCCTGGGAGGTCTAGATGTCACTTCTGTGAATCCATACCAATTCCTGTGCCGTAAGATTCTCCATACACAGGGTTAAGGTAGTTATGTACTGGTCACTAAATCTCCCATCAGCCATCACCTCCACAATACACTTCCCTATCACAACAGGAACCTCCTGGGCCCTGACAATTGGCACCTGCCAAAGATGGGCATTTGGGCAAGCCTCTCCCAGGCTTTGTTTCTACCAGCCAAGAGCAGGGCAGCAGAACCTGTTGAGCAGCCATGGGAGCTGATAATGCTTGAACCTTTCCTAAGCACCAACAGAACCCAATCAGAGTAAGTCAACACCTACAAAACCAGCCACCAACTAGAGGAGCCTCACCCTTGCTAGGGTCATAGACAGGACACTGTGACCTCAATTTGCCTGAGAAATACACAGGCTTCAGAGGAAACCCAAGAATACATACAGGAACCCTGATGGGTGTGCACCATCAAATTCTGCAAGGTCTCACCTAAGTCAATTCCTCCCCTTTAGCTAACCACAGTAAATTAAACACAGGCAGGGCTCCTCCAAAGTCAGCTGAAGAGGGCCAAGAATCCCTCTTTCCTGAGAACAACAGAAACACTCAACTGACCTCAGGTGAACAGCCTGCTCCTCCCGGCACTGTAAGGCTGGGGGCAGGGAGGTTAACAAGTGCCAAACTTTTGCCCATTCCCTCCCTTCCCCCACCTCCTACCCCCACAAACACACAAGAAACATCTAGTAACAGTCTGAGAACATACCTATTCGCTGCACAGCATGGACAATTGTAGAACCACTTCCAATTCCCAGCACTTGGTTATTCTGCCAAAAAGAGGGAAGGACAAACAAAATTCAAAACTACAAACAGTAGTTTTACTCCCTTGGCCTAGACTTATGGAGCACTGAAGTCATCATGAACATCAGTTCACCAGCACAGGTGCAAGACGGGCACCATGCCTGCTTTACAGATTCGTAACCACTGACCCTCGAAGCTGTACTTTATCCTGCTATCCAGTGGCAGGGCCCCCTCTTTCCCTTCTGACACTAATACCATCCCCGTTTCACCATCCTCACTACACACACCCCGTATGAATAACCGGTTCAGTTATTCACACCATACAGCAACTCTCCACTAACTGAAGCTGGCCTCACAGAAACGGCCTGCAAATAACAGTGATTAAAGATCTCGGCCAATCCAAGGGAGGAAATGAGAAAGACAAGGAGGAGGGAAGGAGAAGGGGAGAGGGAAAGAGAGAAGAGAAAGGAGGGAGGGAGGCAGGGGAGGAGGGAAAGCAGCCTGGGTAAGGGTGGAAAGCTGGGCTTTCTGGCTGCCTTTTCACACAAGCTCAAGACTTAGAAGGCAGAGACCATCATCTTCACACAGAAGCCTCAGGGACACATCATGACTACCACCCAGAGCTCTGCCAAAGTCAGTAAAAGAAGGGAGAGTGGGAAGTGACTTCAGAAGTCAATCTTCCTTCTGTCCAGCCAACACCAAGGGGGCCTCTTTTGCATGGGAAGAGAATGAAAGCTTAGAAAGTCTTCATAGGCAGAGCCTTTCTATAGCCAGAGCCTGGGCAGGAGGCTTGACATGTGAGGACTAACATGTTGGTCCAGCCTCGCCCCAAAGATGCAGATGTAATGGTGAAAAAGCAGGACAGGATTTTACTCAATGTAAACTCCACTGAGGAGAGAAACCCAAGCATTTCAGCCATCTTCAGGGCACTGACTTGAGCTTTGATTTTAAAGTAGGGGAGGGAGAGGACAAGAGGGACACATTATTAAGCAATGCTGCTCAAACTCTGCTCTGTTTGATCACTGTCTCGGTTAAGATTCTACAAGGTGCTTCAAAGACATCCTCACTGCTGAAGGAAACAACCATGAAATGGCAGCTCCTGCTTGGGGGTGACTTCATCACAGTGTCTGCCTAGCTTCCATCACTCCTGAAACACAGGTCTAGGAAAATGACTGGAGACTTTCCCGTGCTTTTGAGGATCTGGAAGCGCACACGGTAAGAGCTGAAGGCAGCAAGTTGCTCCTTTACCTTCAACCCTGCAGCAGGATGAGGCATAGCACTGGTTTTTAGACCAACACTCCTTGAATGATTAACATGCCTGTGTGCATAATTAAGCAAGTGTTTAACTCAAAGTAAAGGGTGCAGATACAGATGGAGGCAGAAGATGGAGGCTTTTGTCCTGCGGCGTTTAGTCACCTTGTGGGCCCCTAGCCTCTTTAGTACCTGCTCTGCCTCCCAAACACAAAAGACAGGAAACATGTGCCACAACACTAAGCCTGCCATCCTAAGAGAGAGAAGATACCTGTGATCAGATGGTAGGACCACAAAGAAAAAATAAAACAGGGGCACTATCAAAACAAATATGGAGCTGGGTTCCTAAGCAACTTCCTGGGAACACCTTCCTTCAGGCTATAGCAAAACCACCAACCAGAACAGCAGTTACACTGAACACGGCCTACAACAGTGGTTCTCAACCTGTGGATCGAGACCCTTCCGGGGGCTAAAGGGGGTCAAAAGACCCTCTCACAGGGGTCACATATCAGGTAGCCTGCACATCAGATATTCACATTACAATCCAAAACAGTAGCAAAATTACAGTTATGAAAGTAGCAATGAAAATAATTTTATGGTTGGGGTCACCACAATGTGAGGAACTAACTGTATTAAAGGGTGGTAGCATTAGGAAGGTTGAGAACCACTGGCCTAGAAGACCTACATTTGCCTTCCATCAAGAAGCAATACCGCCAGGCAGTGGTGGAGCATGCCTTTAATCCCAGCACTCAAGAGGCAGAGGCAGATCTCTGTGAGTTTGGGGGCAGCTTGGTCTACAAAGCAAGTTTCAGGACAGCCAGGGCTGTTATACAGAGAAATTCTGTTTCACAAAAAAATAAATAAATAAAGTATTACCAAGAGGACTTGTATACCTTAACATAAAGCCCAGTTTCTCAATGACCCCTATGACCTAGAGACCCACTAACCCACTCCACAGATCCATACAACACTACAACAAAAAAAAACTGAAGACTCTGAAGTGAGCCAAAGATTACTAGATTCCTTCCATAGAATTCTGGCCCCTGCCTGTACTATCTGATCCTACAAGAGTGTGCACAACTTGACAGCTCCATAGATGCTGACTTCAATCCGCAGAAAACCTTCAGAAATCTTATCCATAAAATTCAATTCACTGTGTTCCATGAGACGCAAGTAGTTATTATCCTACATTTATTATACAATAAATTCTGGTCTTTAAAAATCCAGTTCATTTTATTCATGCCCCACTAATTTAATGAGTTGAATAAAATACTGACGTAAGAATAGTTAACATCCTTATCATGTTTCCTTACAAAGAAAATCATCTTTTAACCCCATCAACCACACACCCTCACTTTAAACAATTCAAGGAGTTCGACTGCTGAAAGAGCCCTGCACCTCAAATTTCTCAGAGTGGGACAACTATCAGCAACTCACTTGGCAAGGGAAAGGCCATTGTGAAACTTCCTCGTAGGAGGCACTAAGGGCTGCAGCTAAAACGTCCGTTTCATCGCCACACTACAAAAGCCACAGTAATGTGCAGGGGCAGGCCCACAGCCTAAAGCCCCTATCCCCCAACCCCCCGATCCCCACAGCCCCAGAGCCCCATGCCTCATTTGGACCTTCTCAAAATTAGACTATATCTAAAACTGAAAGACACAAAATGACCAACAAGTACAAAGAATTTAGAAAAACAAATCAAATTCTATTGTAATGGCAATCACACACTTAACACATTTAAAAATGTTTCTAGCTGGGCCTCGCCTACCTACCTAAGACTTTATCCATCATTTTCTGTGGGATTTTTTTTTCTTTTGGGGCAGGGGTGTCTTGTCAGATTATTGCATAAAGAAGTTTACAAGTCAAAGGTAAAAGCAACTCAGATGGTAACACTGAACGAGCTGTGGGGTTTTTTAATAAGGGACAGGGAAATTCTACTGTTGCAAGGAAATCCTCACTGAAGCTTTAGGAAGACACAGGCACTTAAACCCAGGAAGTTGAGACAGCCATCCTTGGCCAATCTAGTCTCTGGGAGGAACTGGTCTGTGTTCTTGCCTGCTCACCTTATAGCTGAGTTATCTCGACACACACATGCTTGTGACAGTGCCATTGTGGGTAAACTTCTTGCCGGCTGGCCTTTGCTACTTTATCACAACCCCTGGGGCAGTACAGTAAGGATCTTCCTGAAGCTCAATTCCTATAGAGAGACTCCTCAATGCTAACAGGAAGCAGGCCGTCATCCTTACCTGCACCAGCAAAGGATGGAAGAGTGGAGGTTCTGGCTATAGGACACATAATAGGACTCCTTTTCCTGGGTGGAAACAGCCTGCGAGAGGCGGCTGCAGGAGGAGCGGGGAGCACTAGAAGTGAGGGAGACTCCATTTCTGTGGGGTGTTTGCTAGTTCATTGAGACAGTCTCACTAGGTAGCTCTGACTGCTCTCAAACTCACAGAGATCTACCTGCCTCTGCCTCACAAGTGCAGGGATAAAAGGTGTGAGCCACCACACCCAGCAATTTCTGTTTCTAATCTAGTAGAAGCCCAGATTAACATACAGTTCCAAACTCTTGTAGATTCCACCTGCCAGGATGCCTTCACAAGAGCAATGCACCTAATAAAGTCATCAGCTGCCCCCACAAAACCAAAAAACGCAAGGGACTCAAGGAACCTGAGGACACAAAACATTTACAGCAGCCAAATATCTCAAGATGTCAAGTATTCAAACAATGGTGAACATCTCCATTTCTTAAAGCCTAGATAAACTTAACCTGACCTTCACGTCTGGCCTGATGCTGAGAATCTGATTATCAATTCCTCATTAGCTTAGCTCATGTCGCTCCCGGCAGTGAAGCAGCAGCACACAGACGAACCTAGTACATCAGACAGGCTCTATTCTCGAAGACGAATTGCAGGGCCTGCCACCTCCAAATGAAATGACAGACCCGGGAGTCAGTGCCCTAGCCAAAACCAACTAGAAGTGGCCAAAGGCTGCCTGCAAACTGGCCCAACAGCTGACAGCCCTTCTAGTGGGCAATGCTAACCAGCATGTCATCGTGTCCAATGGGGTGATCTCAAGAATCTAGGAGAGTGGCTCTGGTGTATCTGATGAGTCTGGAACAGCGTGTTAGCAAAGCAGGCTTCAACATGAAGCAACAGACCATGAGGACAGCACAGACATGCACAGTAACCCATCTGAGGTAACTACACTTTTAGAATCAGGGAGGTCTGGACCTGCTGACGAAGATTCAACAGCGGAGTTCTCCATCTACGCTGAAGTAGAAACAGTTCCGGAGATTGGGGGGACTGGAAACCGCAAACTCTGAGAGCCTAGGAAAAGGGCCACCGTGGTCTACAACCACCATATCAGTGCCCACACGCCACACAACCCACTGAACACTGCCTGAGGTTTCACTGTACCCAACACCGAATGTGTAGATAACGATAACGCTCCTCCCAGAGCTCCTAGGGAGTTAGGCAAGAGAAACGCACAGGGACTAGAACATAGGTCACATAGAGTGTCTGGGAGTCAAGCAGAGGAAGCAGAGTGTGGTGCCTCATGCCTATAATGCCAGCCCCTGGGAGGCGAAATCAGGAGGATCTGGCTGTGGGGTAGTGCACACCTTTAATCCCAGCACTCAAGGCCAGCGTGGCCCACATATCAAGTTCCTGGCCAGAAGGAGGGGAGGATTTCAAAACCAGCCTGAAGGTGGTGGTGGCACAAGCCTTCAAAGCCAGCCTGAGTCTCCAAATAGGAAGAGGAAATTGGCCTCTCCTAGTCTCCTTAGGAAGACAAGGAAAAACTGAAGTAGTGAAGTCCTTTGAACCAAACCCTACGAGACAAACAACCCTATTTTAACAGAAAGCTCCAAAACCCAATAGAGATCTTCCAAGTATTCCCTGGTTACTTCTTTGAATACAGCTAGAATCCAGGGTTTGGGGGCTCTACCATGAGATGAAGTCTTCCAGATTTTATTTTAATCAAATATATAACCATAAAGCAAAGGTCAAGGAGACATGTACCACTAAACATTAACAAAATAACTTAGATAATGGGCTCTCCTAAGGTATAGATTTCATTTATCAATCTATTAAGTCACTTTATGGAGGTATTTTGAAATTTCACTTTACTGTCCCAGGTACCACTGTGGCACTGAATTCCAAACAGAGCCAAATTACACACTTTACATTCATACTCATACCCTACACCCTCTTATTGCGAGTATAAAATCCTGTGCTAACTAGAGTAGCAAAAAGCTACACCAGAACAGAAGAGCATAGGAGTCCTGCCTGAAACAAGAGTGGTATGGCTGTCCTGCTATAGAAAAGGAGGAGCCAGAGGTTATCAGACCCGGTCCCACCCACTCAGACCGCCCTCGCTCTTGGCAGGAAGACAGAAAAAGCTCTAAGAACATCAACTTTGCAAAGGAACTTTGTGCAGCACTAACAAATGAAAAGAAAGGAAAAAAAAAAAAAAAAGAACTTCCTACTATGGAGAAATGTGTTCTGACAACCCTATCTAAAAAGTGGAAAAAGGGTTGGGGATTTAGCTCAGTGGCAGAGCGCTTGCCTAGCATGCGCGAGGCCCTGGGTTCGATCCTCGGCTCAAAAAAAAAAAAGAAAGAAAAAGAAAAAAGAAAAGAAAAGAAAAAGAAGTGGAAAACAAAACAAGACTAGGAAACTCCACCATAGGGCAACAGAAATGATACAACTCAGATAATTAACCTGCTACGGGACGGCAAGACGCGAAGAGTCCACTCATAGCACCACACCTGCCGTTTAACAAGCAAGTGGGGGACACAACCTGACTGAGGAACTGTTCAACACCTGGACCCCACCTAAGAAGCAGCACCTCCAGATGTCGTGTCCACCCGGCCCTGTAAACAGCAAGACTTCTTTGTAAAGACTGCACTCAAGCTTCCCAAGCAGGAGGAGCTCAAAGCTTGCTTGTCGGGAGTACAATTTCAAAACTTTGCAACCCAGTTCTCCTGTGGCTTCCCGGTTAAGTGGGAAGTGAAGAACTCGAGGCAGCCTCGGGGCTCACCATTTTCAATGGGCTGATTAGGAGGCAGGCAATAACAGCCTGACAAACTCTATCATCAGGGTAATGCCAGGCTCCACTGTACACTCAGTTCCGGCTGGACAGGGAGCCTTTGGGGAAAAGGCTCGATTTGGGGGAGAGTTGACACCCACCGATTCGACGTCTAAAGGGCCTTTCGGGGGTTCGGAAGGGCAGCGTGAACTCGGGTACAAGGCTCACCCTCTCCCCTGTCTCGCAGCCCTCGCCCTTTCGGGCGTCAGGCGCACCCCGGCCGCGCAGCACGAAGCCATCACGCCGCCACAAGCTGCCCACCTTCACATGGTTCTCCACCGCCGTGTGGCTCGCCAGCTTCTTAGCCTCCTCGGCCTTGGACATCGTGGAGGGGGCTGGGCCGCCCGCGCTCGAGCCTCCCTTGTCGCCGCGGGTCTCCGACTGTGCACGCCCCGGCAGTTGCACGTGGGAACCCGAGAGGCCCCAGCTGTTCCCGCCCCCGCCCGAGGCCGCGCCCCCGGCCCGCCCGGGCAGTGGGGCCAGGACCCGCCCGTAGAGGGTGCTGAAGGGCCCGGGGCGCTGCATCCCGCCACCTCGCTCCAGCCTCTGCGGCCGCCCCGCCCCCAGCTCCTCCGGAAATCGGCTGGCTGGCGCACCCTGGTCCGCGCCTGTTCCTGAGCGCGTGCTGCTGGGAAATGTAGTCCTGAGGCGGCGGCGGCCTCTAGCCCTGTCGCAATCTGGACTACACGCCCCACAATGCCCGCGACTTAGTGTGCAAATCGCGCGCCTTGACGCCAGCCTTTTTCTGTCCGGAAGGTCGGGACAGCCACTGTCTAGGAAGCTGACAAGTCCGTGCCCTGGGGTCAAGTGTTTACACCTGTAGGTGAACTCCAAGAACTTTTCTGTCTTGACATGCATTTAGGAAAACAATGCAATAGAAGAGAGAGGGAGCTGTTGAAAACCTGACCTTGTTTTCCCCCAGCAAATGCTGTGTTGTGGGCGAGTCCTCAGTCAAGTGGTTATAACAACACAACGACATTCTTTTTTTTTAAATCTTTTAATTGCATTTTATTAAAATTGTGTTTGTGTGCATGAGTGCAAGCTTGTGTGGGTCAAAGGACAACTTGCAGGTGTCCATTATCTGACAACCTGTGTAGCGGGGATTGAACACCTATGTCAGTACTTACTGGCAGACCACCTTAAAGGTGTCTGCTCTAGACTCACTCCTTGGTGATATATATTTGAGACTCCCAAGCCTTCTGAAGTCTGTGCTAGACCATCACAAACCCAAGATCACAAGTTCAGCCAACAGCTCCTGCCTTGGACATTGTTCTGCTGTTGGCATTGGATGGCGTGGTGTCTAGATGGAGCCTGGGTGCCTGCGCAGAAACCAGTGTGCCCTATAGAGACCCGGCAATTCTTGGTGACTGGCAATTTTAAAACTAAAAGCTTTGGGCCTTCTTCTCTGCCTTTAGTTTGCTGCTATGTAAGGGGTGAGGAATTCTTATCACCACCTTTTACAAGCAGGAAACCAGTGCTGGCTAAGCCTTACTGAACACTTGGAAGTTCTCGGTCTCATGCAACAGCCTCACTAGTCTGAACTCACTATGTAGCCCAGGCTCACTATGTAGCATTCTCCTGAGCTTGGATTGCATCGAAGAAGGCTGGAAGTTCTTTTTGTTAGTGTTTCCTTAGGGTTTTTTGAGACAAGGTCTCTCTGTGTGGCCCTGGCTGTCCTGGAACTATGTAGACCAGGCTGGCCTTGAATTCAGAGATCAGCCTGCCTTTACCTACCCAGGACTGTAATTAAAGGCATGTGCCACCACACCCTCCCCCAAGAGCTAGAATTTTCCAGAAACCCGTAGGAAAATAAAAGACAAGTTCGCAATGCCTTTTTGCAACTTTTATAGCCTGAGTTTTATCTTATCAGACTGGAATCCCGCCCAATGCACTCAGGGGCCACTTGATAGCCTCCTTTACCAAAAAAGGAGGGCAAGTTCTTCAGTCACCATTAGAAATTTAACTTCAGGAGCCACCAAAATCAGGTGTACAACTGCTGTCCAGACACTTAAATGTGACTCTTCTTCTGAGAAGCCCACGTCCACATTTGGGATCTTAGTTATTTTAGTCAACTGCACCATGACCAAAAGCAACTTGGAGTGGAAAACGTTATTTGGATTACATATCCTGAATCACAGTCCACTGAGGGAAGCCATGGCAGGAACCTGGCGGCAGGAGCTGATGCAGAGGCCATGGTGGGAGGGGTGCTCTTTACTGGATGACTCTTTATTGGTTTCTCAACCTGCTTTCTAATAGGCTAGGTGCTGCCCCACCTACAATCACATCAGGCCCTCTCACATCAGTCACTAAGAAAATACCCTACAGCCTTGCCTACAGGCCAGTCTTATGGAAGCGTTTTCTCAATTGTTCCCTCCACTCAAATGACTAGCTTGTGTCACGTTAACATAAAACTATGCAATACAGACAGTCTCTCTCCTCACGTTAACCCCATGTTTAAGTATATGATAAAAGTCCCTTTGTAATAAACTGAACTCTGGTTTGAATCCTGGCTTCAGCAGAGTAGGAGTCTCTGAAAAGAACTCTGACTGCTGAACACTATGGAGATGTGTCTCTGGCACATGCCCCACTGCCATTGACAACAGGGTTTCACTAAGTTGACCTGTCCAGCCTTGACCTCATTATGCAGCCCAGGCAGCCCTTGAACTTTCAACCCACCTGCCTTCCTTATGTTCTCAGTAGTTAAGATTACATCACTCACTCAGAAGGACTTTTTGTGATCATTTCTTTACTCTGTGCTTATCACGCATCCTTTGTAGAGGCTATCAGGCTGCTGCTAACATACAAAGGATCCTCAACATGCATCTGAAGCAAGATGAAATAGCAACCATCCCGTGCCTCAACTCTACCATCCACCTTCAGTCATACAGAATTTCTGTCCCTTCCTGTGCTGTTAGCTGTGGTTTTGAGCACATTATATAATTCATACATGTAATTCAAGACTTCACTGTTTGTAGGGAATGGTGGTGCACATCTTTAATCCTAGCGCTTGGGAAGCAGAGGTATGTGGATCTCTAGGAGTTCCAGGTCAGGCTGGCCTAGATAACAGAGTTCCAGTTCAGCTGGGGCTATACAGTAAGACTCTGGTTCAAAACCCAAAAGACAGCCTAGAGAGGTAAGTGCTTACTGCTCTTATGGAGGGCTGGGTTCATTTCCCAGCACCCACATCAGGCATCTTCAACCACATACAGCTCCAGGTTCAGGGGATCTGACATCCTCACCTGGCCTTCCATATGGTGCACAAATATACATTTAGGCATTCACATACATAAAAAATAAATCTTTAAAAAAGACTCCATGCTATTTGTATCTCAACAACACTGAACTCAACTCCCACTTTCATAGACTGCCCCTTGGAGCATCCTTCCGATCACCTGTACCCTTCTCTTAGTCCGTTTTGTTCTAATTCCCCAAATCTTAACAGTGCTATCATTTTTCTAAAGCCCAAAGTTTCTTCTGACACTGAGGCACTCTCTGTGAGCCCTGTTAGACTATTTTTTTTAAGTTGCAACCACGGCAGGTGATAGAGAACTTGACCAGCATGCGTGGTTTCCTAGGTTCAATCCCTGGTAATGGAAAAAAAAAAAAAAAAGTTACAGACCTCCGATATACAATGGCACAAAGTAAGCATTCCCATCCCAAAGGGGAGGAATGAGGACATAGAAAGGAAAAATCAGAGCAAACCAAGCTGAAAACCCAGTAGGGCAAACACCAAATCCTGTAGCTCCATGCTCAGCCTCTGGAGCTCTCATTGGCATCCTCCTGACTCCAACATCCTTGGGTAGCCCTGACCATCTGGTTCTGCCACCTAAAGCACACATAGCTTCTCTCTTGGGCCAGCTCCACTCCATGCCTGCAGCTTTCTTTAGTGGGCATCCAAGTCTTTGCAACACACTGGTGTGTCTCTTGCAACTTAGTCTTGCTGTCATAGCTTCACTCAGCAGCCTTTACAGTACATTACACTGGTAAGTTACCATGTGCTTTAAGTTTGTTAAAATGGACTTAGAGAACAAGGAGGCTCTCTTTTATCTCCTTGATGTCACCATAGATCTGAGAAGCACGTTTATCTCAAGTGTCCTCCAAAGCTCCCTGACCTTGGTCAAACTGCCCCCCGAATTCTGTGACAGGGAGAATGGAAAAAGCATACTGCTGAGGCTATTAAAATCCTTGTGCCCTTGGGAACAGCTAGAAAGTGAACCATGTCTAACAGAGTTTACTTTTGTTTACCTCTTGATATAAAAATGCCTGCAATGGGAACCAGAACCCAGAAAGTCATCCATGGAGAGAAAACTGTGAATTGGAATCTCAGCTAACTGCTTCAACATTTTCCCAGCCTGTTTCTGCTGGGAGCT